CCGAGTCCGCCGGTGTGATCGTGGCTTGTTTTATTCTTTCAACAAACAGGGTTCGAGGAGGACATCCTGATTGTTTCGGAGGGGAAAATGGCCCCCTTCACCCACGATTTCAGAAAGGCTCAGCAGAGGATGCCGGCGATCCCGGTGAATATCCGCTCCATGAACTTCACCTGGCAGGCGGCGGGGCCGGTAAGTGCTGGGAAACGGCCCTCTGGCGTCCCGGGCCTGGCGCGGGTAGGAGCGGCCCGCACGGTGCCCAGGCTGGTCCACCTCGCGGCTTCTGAGAGCACGCCGTCTTCCGGTCGCCAAAGCAGATAAAGAATTAATTCCCCTCCTGTAAGAAAGTTGCCCCGTAGATTGAAGGTCTCTAAAGAAAAGCGTGAGCAACGCGCCCAGACTTACGAGCTGGACGAGACTCTGTGACTGGAGCCTGCCGGAAACAGAAAGACCTCGGGTACCCACATCGCAGTGTTTCTGTGATCACTGGTCTCACAACTGACCACAGTAATTAAAAGACTCCGTTTCCATAGTATGCGCTGATCACTTGTGGCGAATTTGTAGGTGTTTGGGATACGGTGCCTCTTAAAGCAGTTGGTATGTTGAATGTAATCCACTGGGATGTGAATGCCAGGTATTTCCGGTAGAAGTTCAGAGGCAAAGGTGCTGTATTTAGAACGTTGAGAAATATCGCAGCCTCCTGATTTTTTTAAGATTGCCATTTTAAAGGCTTTCACATGGAAAGGAAAAGGGCAGTTCACTTTTAGGAAGAAGTGTTCCTTTTATTCCTTAACACATTCGCATCTTTTGTATGTTACCGTTTGCACATTTTCAGATTTATATAAATGGCCTATAACTTTGGAGAGAAAGGAAGAGTAAAATGCTTATGTGAGTTTAATTTCTTTTGTGCAACTGGAGAATTTACTCTAGGGGACAAGTGGGAATACATTCTTTTGCTCATTCGCTTGTAAAATGTGTCTACTATGAACATCATTGTGATTATAATTAAAATCACATTTTCAGGTCTTTTTTATCCTAACTTACTTAAATGGCTATTTTCATGAAGGATGTGCTACGGAAAACACTTCATAAAAAGTCACTATTTTGGATTGAGAAGCCACTTTGGTTTCCTCTAATGACCCGGCGTAGCATGGGCATGACCACTTGAGCTGGTTTCTCTTCCTCTGGTGTGTTCTCTTTTTTCTTCTTCTTTTTCCCCTAAAATGGATCAACTCTAGACCCTTCAATGCTTCCATTGGTATGTGGTCCAAAAGTTGGGAAGTTTTGGATCCACCAAGGCGGGTCTTCAACAGCAAGGTCATCTGTTCTAACGCTCCCATTTTGCAGATAAGTTCACAAAGCTTCCACCGCTCCACAGGGAGATCATTCCTTTCCTCCCTACAATTCCCTCTTCATGGATGCTTTATAGACAGTCACGTTTGGAATGTTGTGAGACCAGTAATGAGTCAATGAATGGCCTTTCATTTTCACCTGAATCTGTTTACTTGTGGTTGACCTCTTGTCAGACAGCTGTTCATTAACTGGCCAATTACTTCTATTTTTTGACCTGTACGTTTATGGGTTCATAAGAACCATTAGAAGGTAGCTTGAGTTGCATGGCCCTAGCTGAAAGGGTTTGGTACCTGGTAACTGCTGGAGAAGCAGGAAATACCAAGAGTTCTCCTCCTTTCTTCTCTCCTTCCTTCCTTTCCTTCTTTTGTCCATGAGTTTCTTTCTTTCCTTCAGACTATGGAATTTGAAACAAAGGCTTGAATTCTATGTTATCCCCCCTATTGCTTAATAGCATAATGCGTGTTAGCAAATTTTGGCATATAGGTGGGTACGAGATGGACTGACATATCTTTCAACCTCAGCAACATGTCTTGTAGGCCAGGGGTCCCCAGTCCCCGGCCCACGGGCCGGTACCGCTCCATGACCTGTTAGGAACCGTGGCCAGCGAGTGAAATTCATATGTATTTACAGCTGCTCCTCATCGCCGGCATTACCACCCAAACCCCGCCTCCTGTCAGATCAGCACTGAGATGCCTGCTTCCATTTCCAACATCCTGTCTTGGTGAAGCAGGGTTTTCTGCAGTGACAGCAGCTGACATGAGATTACAGAGTAGACTGGACATAAGCAACACACTGCAGGTGTCACTGTCTCCCGTCAGCCCCAGATGGGACCGTCTTGTTGCAGGAAAACAAGCTCAGGGCTCCCACTGATTCTGCATGATGGCGAGCTGCATCATTTTTGCATTAGATATTGCAGTATCGTCATAATAGAAATGAGTGCACCATACATGCAATGTGCGTGAATCATCCCGAAACTGTCCGTGGAAAAATTGTCTTTATGAAACCGGTCCTTGGTGCCATAAAGCTTGGGCACCGCCGTTGTAGGGGATTAGGGAAGACACTGGAATTGGCATGAAGATGAAGTCTCCAGCACTTAGCACTTTTCTTCCTCCTGCACGGGTGTCCTCACCAGGTGGAATGTCTCATAATGCTGGACAGTGTTCGCACCTCCGTTCAGTTACCTGGCCGCCATGCTCGGTCTGTTGTGGAGCGGTTACCACAGGGAACTATATGCACTTGGTGTCTGTTTTTTGTAGGGGAGGAGTGGCAGATCCAAGCAATCTAGGCAGGTAGATGTTGTAAGATATCATCTCAACATAACTTGTTTTACTCACTAAAGTTATGTTACCTCAGTGCCATAATTTTTGAAATGCATGGACATTTTGAAGATGGGAACAAATCTTGACTTCAATACCAATTAAGTATTTTGAAAGACGTCCATGGCTAAAGCCAAACCACACCAAAACATTTATGTGGAAAATGAAAAGTTCACTCCATTATCTAGTTATTTCATCCAAGTGATATCAGACATTTAAATGTTTCAAAAATACACAAACGAACACCTAACCGACGAATGAAATTGTGAGCTTTAAGGTTAAGTGTTTTGGCAACACAGGGGTAAAGTTAAAATAACTTCAGGATTGAAGACCTAGTGGAGGCAGTGACATGTTACCTACTTCCAATAAGTTATTAGTCCAGTTACCCAAAGTGTTCTTGGGGGCACTTAAAATACATCTCACGTCCTACTGCAGACAAGTGCAAATAAAAGTTACAGTGAGATTTATTTCCCCACATCAAGTTGTTCAAATCTTTACAAGTGGTTTTAGTGTGTGGAGAACTATGCATACTCATATGCCGTGGGTGTGCCAGCCCTTTTGCAGGACAATTAGACAGATGACAGAAGGCGTGACATAGATCCCGTGACTGGGAACTTTGACTTCCAGAGATTCATACTAAGGAAATAATCATGGATATAAACAAAAATGTAGATCCAAGAATGTTCCTCATCGTGCTGTTTACAAAGATAGAGCCATAAAGCCGGGCGCGGTGGCTCACGTCTGTCATCCCAGCACGTTGGAAAGCCAAGGTGTGAGGATTGCCTGAGCCCGCGGGTTCAAGACCAGACTGGGCAACTTGGCGAGACCTCATCTCTACAATAAATAATAAAATTAGCCGGGCGTGGTGGCGCGTGCCTGTAGTTCCAGCTACTTGGAAGGCTGAGGGGGAAGGATTGCTGGAGCCCAGCAGGTCGTGGCTGTGGTGGCCGTGAATGTGCCACCGCACTCCAGCCTGGGTGACAGTGAGACTCCAACTCAAAAAAAAACCCAAAAAACAATAGACATGACCTAGAGTCTGGCCGTAGCAGTAGAACACAATTCGGTGGTGAGGATATTCCAGACATCCATCTGAGGCCATGGAAAAATGTTTACGCAGTGGAAGGTATCTATAACACGCCACATTCTGTTTGATTCCATTACAAAATATGTTGGCAGACATAGGAAAAATTGTCTGAGCCGCATCTGATTGTCCAAGGTGTAAACACTGGTCCTATCTATGCCTATTACATTTTGGTTTTTCCACAGTGAATGTGTATTGGCTTGTAATTTTAAAAATTATTTTACATCAAATATGTATATATATAAAAGTTGTATGAGTTTCAGATTGTATGATGCTCTGTTCTGTATTATAAATATATTTGATAGCTGGTATCATTTTAACATTACAGATCACTCGACAAAAAGGTAAAGTAAATGTTTTCCATGGGTCTTCATAAGACCAAAGAGTTCACTGATGCTCCTCTGATTCTTACCAGTTTCCTTTGAGGTCTCCCCACATCTTTCCTCCCTAAAGTCATCTTTTCTGACCTCTCTCCCTGCAATTCTCATTTTCCGTGGACAATCTTGCTCCATGTATCTCCCATTTAAAATACTCATTTTCTGACCTGCCTTGTCTCAAGGCTTTTGTATGAGAGACAAATTTCTAATGAAGAGGCTTAGCTTAAAGCATTTTTAGTAATTAAGGGAAAATACCCTTTATTATTGTACCTAACTTTTTACTAGTTGATATTTTTCAGTGAGGCATTTTTATTCTTTTTCCCTAAACTTGAGACAGGCAGGGGCCATATGCAACCATGTCGGTTTTCTAAATGAGACGCTAATTAAACATTTTATTTGGAAAATAACCCTTCCTAAATCCAATGACTTTCAAGTAAAAATTTAATGAGAGGTTTTGCTAGACAAATCTGAATCCATCATTAGGATACCACTGCCGATTTCCATATGAACCAGTGGTAAGGCCAAAATGTTGTATTTACATAACTCGTATAAATAGCTGTTTGCTTATAGTGATCATAGAGGGTCTATCTTGGTAACTGTACTGTGTTCTTTCACCTGTATAAATATACTAAGATACTCTGACCCTAGTACTTGGTTAACAGGGCGTCTCTTTTTATGTTGCTTTTTTTTTTTGAGTTGGAGTCTCACTTTGCTGCCCAAGCTGGAGTGCAGTGGCGCCCTCATGGCTGTCCTAGCGTCAACCTGCTGGGCTTCAACGATCCTTCCACCTCAGCCTTCCAAGTTGCCGGAGCCACAGGTGTGCACCACCATGCCTGGCTAATTTTTGATTTATTGTAGAGAAAAGGTCTTGCCAAGGTGCCCGGGCTGATCTCGAACCCGTGGGCTCAGGCAGTCCACTTGCCTCAGCCTCCCAAAGTGCTGGAATGACAGACTGAGCCACCAAACTCAGCTGCTTTTTTTTTTTTGGCATAGTGGCAGTAGATTTATGCTAAGCTACCTGTGCTGATTTTCTGGCCTTCTTGTGACCAAAGGCCTGGATGTCTA